GAGAGAGAGAGACAGAGAGAGACAGAGAGAGAGAGGGAGAGAGAGAGAGGGGGGGAAGGGAGGGGAGGATCCCAAGAGAACACATGGTCCCTGGAAGAAGGGGAGGAGGACAAGTACCCCAGAACAAATTGTGAGCACGGGAGGGGGGAAGAGGAAGGAGATGGGAAGGGGAGAGAGGGAGGAGAGGTGGGAGGAGAACAGGAGGATTGAGACAGGAGAGGAGTAGAGGAGGGCAAGAAAGGAGATGCCTTGATAGAGGAAGCCAGTATAGGTTTAGAGAGACATCTGGCACAGGGGAAATGCTAGAGGCGGCTCCTCAGGGATGACCCCAACTAAGAATTTAGGAAGCAGTGGAGATGCTGCCTTTGATGCCCTCCCCTATAATGAGATTGATGACTACCTTAGCTGCCATTCCTAGCACCTTCATCCAGTAGCTGATCGAAGCAGAAACAGACACCCACAGTTAAACACTGAGGCATACTCCTGGAATCCAGTTGCAGACAGGGAGGAGGGATGAGCAAAGGAGCCAAGACAAGGCCGGAGAAACCTGAAGAAACAGTTGACCTGACCTAATGAGAGCACTGAGACCCTAGGCATAAAGCTGGGAAACCAGCATTGGACAGAACCAAGCCCTCTGAATGTGGGTGCCAGCTAGGAGGCCTGGGCAGTCTATGGTACCTCTAAAAGTGGAGCCAGTGTTTATCCCTACAGCACAAATGGACTTTGGGAGCCCATTCTTTATGGAGGGATACTATTGCAGCCCAGATACAGGAAGAAGGGCCTGGACCCTCCCCAAATCATGTGATGGGATTTCTATGGTCCCCAGTGGCGGGCCTCACTATCTCTGGGGAGTGAGTGGCGGGTGGGTTGAGGAGCATGGGGGGGGTGAGGGAATAAGAGATTGATATGTAAATAAGAATGCTTCTGAAATAAAAAAATATTTAAATTATAAAAAGGAAAATGTAAGTTTGATTTTCTAGAAACGAGTCAAGGTGAGAGTGAATTGGCGTTTATATGCTGTTTACATGTAGCTTTGTGTAACA